GCACTGTGATAATTTAGTAGAGATTGTATTGTAATTATTGCTGGCTTGGTATAGAGCCAGATATTCTTATAGTTAAAATTATGTGGTGATCTCAGAGAGAGGTATAGAACTGCTGATACAATGGATGGAATTAAGAATAAGACACAAAGAGAAGACATTTACAAGAAAATTTCCAAGAAATTTACAAATGTGTTAAAGCAATGGCTGTGTTACCCATGGCATTTGTAAATATTGGCATGCAGAATCAGTCTTCCTAGATGTCAGTTTCCTCTTTTAATATGAGCTAGAGCTCATGAAAGCTGTTTCCTGATGGAAAAAAGATCCCTTTATGTGAATGGCTGCTGACATGTTATTCTGTGAAAGGATGAGTCAGGAGCTAACCCTGCAATCTGAGGCTTATTCTAAATGTTGACACACCCCTCAGCTTTCCAGTTTAGGAGTTTGGGACAAACCTCATGGAGGAGACAGTAGGGCTGGGACACCTTGCTGCAATGCTCTGCTAGAAGATCAGTGTAAATATAAAGGTAACCCAAACTCTTAAGAGGGTCGTTACTATAGCTGGTGAAGCTTTGGAACCATTGTGGTTAGGAGGACAAGAATATGCTTCAGAACCATGTAAGACTTGAGTTCAGATCCTAACTCTGCTATTTATTAGCTATAAAAAGTTGGACAATGCCCTCTCTGAATGTTCTCTCCTCATTAGTAAAGTGAAACTAATTAAAACTACACAATAGGGTTGTTTGGAGGATTTCATACAATAACATATGTAAAGCACATAGCAGATCCTGGATGCAGCAAATGTTTGTTGCATCAGTGAATGAAGGAAAGAACTGAAACCTCATCAAGAATGAAAATGGGTCCCTCTGGAGGAGTACAGAGCTGACCTAAGGACTTGGCTCTAGCAATTTAATCTCACACAAAATGGAAAAGTGAAGAGCTTTGGTTCTGAGGTCAGACTGGGTTTGAATTCTGCCTTCCCTTTTTCTTTACTACTTGTGTAATATTGGGCACGTTGCTTGACTTCTTAATCTGAATTTCCTCATCTTTAAATGGGTGTAGTAATAATAGTGGCTATTCTGTGGCATTGTAATAGAGATTAAGTTGAGATAATGAATGTAACATAATAAGCACTCTAATATTAGCCAACTTGTGTGCTCCTTCACAGTATGGCCAGAAAAGAATTTTTGCATTCGACTTTATACCCAGAGAACATGATTTGATATATTAAGGCAAAAACTGCAATTACTTTTGCACCAACCTAATAGCATTAGCATATCTGATCCTAAACTTTTCTTTGGATTATAGTTGAGTACGTTATGTAGATACATTTTATGAGTTCCAATTTGTCATTTTAAAAATATTTATATTGTCCACCCTTTGAAATTTACATTAGTAAACTATACAAATTTAAGATCTGAAACAAAAGTGTACATTGATTCTATAGTGAATCATCATCTTTTCTTTGTCGTATGGCTAAAAGGATAGAAATAGTAATTGTGGCCGGGCACAGTGGCTTACACCTGTAATCCTAGCACTTTGAGAGCCCGAGCTGGGCGGATCACGAGGTCAGGAGATCGAGGCCATTCTGGCCAACATGGTGAAACCCTGTCTCTACTAAAAATACAAAAATTAGCTGGGTGTGGTGGCGCGTGCCTATAACCCTCCTACTCAAGAGGCTGAGGCAGGGGAATTGCTTGAACTATGGAGGTGGAGGTTGCAGTGAGCCGAGATCATACCACTGCACTCCAGCCTGGTGACACAGCGAGACTCCTCTCAAAAAAAAAAAAAAAAGAAAAGAAATAGTAATTTCTGGGGCAATCACATGTTTAAAATAGGTACCACAGTAATTCACTTAACACTCCATGCAAAATAAAATGTCACCAGAAGGGATAGCTGGTCAACACAAAGTAGAATGTGTCTTCAACCTCACAGTTTGCTTTAGTAAAAATTTAGCACATTAACAGGGATAAAAGTTAGGAAAGGAGAGAAAAGTTTTAGGCATCAAGAAACTGCCTTTTTTGTTTTCAGTTGTGGAATAAAGGAATTGTAGAATAAAGGAGTAGCAGAATGGGTCCAGACAATGGCAGTTTTAATTTTTACTTTCACTTTGAGCAGTGCCAAATGCTAGTAGAAGCTAAAATGAGTGACACTTAGGGAAAGAAAAAACTTCCCCCTTGAATCTCTTTAAAATCTATAATAATCATATAATAATATAAAGTGCATCTGGGCATTGCCTTCTGCTGCAGTTCTTGTCTGGCTGTTATCCAAAACTGTCAGGCTACCCTGAGTGCTGATGCTTCATATCCCAGCACCCTTTTATCTGAACCTTGCAGTGTCTTTTCTCTGTACTTTGGCAGTGATGTTACCTTGATGTTCAAAAATCTTTTAAAAGCAACACAGGCTTTCCTTGCATCTTGACAAATCGTTGTCTGCTAGTAATGAAGAAAAAGTAAACCCGTGATCACTGCAAATATAAATACTTCCGAGTGTTTTCGGTTTTTTTTAAAAAAATGGTTATGTATTTTGGGATCCTCTAGCTGAAAAGTGAATATTTTGAGAATTTTTCCTTATTTCTCTTGTGTAAATCAGCATGCTGCTTTTCAAGAGCAACGGTCAAGTGGAGTTTCGATGGATCATTTGACATTTAAGGATAGAATTTAACATTTCTATATGATTTTCCTTTTGAATTTTTAAAAGGGGAAATATAGATATTATTTTTATCTCTGTTGTATGTTCTTACTGCTATTATTTTTAAATCAATATTTTATTTACTTATTTTCATATGCTTCGGTATATCCTGATGATGGTAACAGTGGTTTACATCTACACAGTTCTTTCCATACGTGTCCTTATCTAAGTCTTGAAGCAGCCACAGGAGGCCAGGAAGGCAGGTTCTCATGATTAGTCCAACTTACATATGAGGAAACTGAGGCTCAGAATGATTTATGAATCTCTCACTCAACCAACAGCAGATCCAGTTCTTAAATCTAGGTCTACTCAGTCAAAACGAATGGTGTCACCACTTTTTCACAATGTTGTCTCTCAGAAGAGTATCTTGGCTTATCAATGAATATTTAGCATCCAGAGTGAAGGTGGTATATTTCTTTCTTTTTTCTTTTTTGAGATTGGGTCTTACTCTGTCACCCAGGCTGGGGTGCAGTGGTGTGATCTCAGCTCACTGCAACCTCCGTCTTCCAGGTTTGTGCGATTCTTGTGCCTCAGCCTTCCAAGTAGCTGGGATTACAGGCATGTGCCACCATGCCTGGGTAATATTTTTTGTATTATTAGTAGAGACAGGGTTTCGCCGTGTTGGCCAGGCTGGTCTCAAACTCCTGGACTCAAGTGATCTGCCTGCCTCGGCCTCCCAAAGTGCTGGGATTACAGGGGTGAGCCACTGTACCCGGCTAGAAGGTGGTATATTTCTCCTGGGGTGGACTTTGGTCAAAGCTGTGAGAGGTCGTTTTTATGTCAATGTTCGGGTGCAGCATTTTATAGGGAATATACTGGGAAACTGGAGGCTATGAGAAAGGGCAAGAATCTAGAATGATGAGGAGCCTGGGAACTATACTAGAAAGAACCAAAGGAATCAAGATTTTCAAATGTCTGCGGAAAGGAAGATACAGAGAGATATAGCTGACATCTTCAAATGTTTTATGGACTCCCTTGCAGAAGAGGAATTTGATTTGTTCTTTGTAATTCCAGGCAGCAGAAGTAGGACCATTGGGTAGAAATTACACAGAAGCGGATTTATGCTGGATATAAGAAGAAACTTTCCAACATTTAGAGATGTCCAAAAATGGAATAGACTGTCTCACTGCCACTGGGAAGTGTTCACGCTCAGACTGTCCAGCTCAGAGATTATATGGCTTTATGAGCATTGCTTTTCAGCAGTAACAGTTTTATGATGAAACTTCTAAGGGCTCAGAGAAGAATTTCCTCACCAGCTAAAAACAAAGGAGTTTTGTAGGCTTTTCCACCATGATTTTAGACTAAGAAAGTTGTATGCATAACAGCTCCTGTTTCACACATCGCTGTGTTTTGGGAAATACTGTTCAACTGCTGGGGAAAGACACATTAGTTAAAGCAGATAAGCAAGACTTTTGTGAGATGAGAATTGAAGCAGATAGTGTGGTGTTTGTGGTAGGGAGGGTGTGTATTCACATGTGTACATTTTTAACTAGGATGAATTTGCCATGGCTTTGGCTATTTTCAATGGCCTTGTTACTTTTCATTACTCACCAGCCCAGCTCTAGAACATGACCTGTAGAATTAAAAGAAATGAGGGGAAAAGTCATTTGATTTAGATGAGTTGTTTTCTCAATATGGAAAAGATGCTGCATCGAAAGCGAGATGCACTAAAATAAGTTTCTGACGTAGCAGATCTAAGAAAAGCACTGAACTGGGATCCGAAGTCTCCACACTAGGTTTCGCTCCATCACTCACTGCTTCATCTTTATGTCTTTTTATTTTTCTCTAAAATGGAAGTGTTTTAGGAATTTTCTTTCTAACTGTAAAATGTTGTGATTCGAATTCTCCCAATTTTATGGCTCTAATTCTCATTTGCATAGAAAGTGGAAAATGGCCTCAACTATAACAAAAAACAATTCAGTCATTTATTTGTTCTTTAATTTCCTCATTCACTTATTCAAAAATAGTTATTAAGTGAAACACTATTATAAAAATAGAAGAACTTTGTTTTAATATATGATTTTTAATAATGAAACATAGAAAACAGCACATTAGTACCTCTATAGAGTTCCACAGTTTGAAAGAGTGATATTTAATATAATATTTAAAATGAAAGCAAAGCACTTAGTTTGTAGGATATTTTGAAACAAATATAATGGGATCCCTCTGTAAAATGGCTTTTTGTGGCTTGGATTGGGAACTGCAGCATTTCAAACCATGCCCCAAATCATAGTGGCATTCAGTAACAACTTACTATACTAGATACTTTAGCTCCAGAATTATTGAATAGCTTAACCACTGATTCCAAGCAGAAAGCCCCTTCTCCATGAATTATCACATGTTTTTTCTTTTTCTAACAGATTCCAGAGGGGTGACTACCACATTGATGTCTGTATCAATGACTACCTGGACGTTTTCTGCCCTCACTATGAGGACTCCGTCCCAGAAGATAAGACTGAGCGCTATGTCCTCTACATGGTGAACTTTGATGGCTACAGTGCCTGCGACCACACTTCCAAAGGGTTCAAGAGATGGGAATGTAACCGGCCTCACTCTCCAAATGGACCGCTGAAGTTCTCTGAAAAATTCCAGCTCTTCACTCCCTTTTCTCTAGGATTTGAATTCAGGCCAGGCCGAGAATATTTCTACATCTGTGAGTATATAGAGATTTATCGTGTTGTAGGGCAGCTGCAAGAGCCCAGACTAATTTTTTACCCATGTTTCAGAGAATTGCAGAGAGCTGGACTCTGCATTACAGATGTCTCCTTGTAAATGCATACATCAGGATCCCTAGATACATTAGCTGGGAATTGAGAGCACAAATTAGATTAAAGACAGAGCGCCTCTCCCCCTATGAAATTACGTGTCAGCCTGTTCAGTGAACCACTGCTGACTTGTATTTCTTTTAAATGAAAATTGCCAGGACTTCTCCAAAGCTCAGGAAAAGAAAAAAGACTCCTGAAAAAAAAATTAAAGGAAATAATTAAATTTACATAGCTTGGAGTCATTGGATTTCTTATTCAGGTGTCAGCAATATCCTTTCGATCATCCACATTTTCAGTGGAGGAAGCCAAAACTCCTGGAAATGTCAGCATGCTGATGATAAATGCTCTCTTTGCACCAAGGAGAAAAGATCATTTTTAAGAGCAGCTCTGTCTTTAAACAGGAAAGAGTTGTGAAGAAGTGTCTAGAAGGGGTTCCAAGGGAACTGGTAGGAGCGAGGTTCCCACCTGTGAGCATTGAGTGACTCTGTCCTGGGAGCTCTAAAACTTTCTCAGTAGACTTCTGTATTAATCAGAATCCCTGACCTTATTTCTTCTCCATTATGTACCCATCGCTTCTTCAGACATCCTGCTATCATATGTTATAGGTAAATGCTTCTCAAACTTCACTGTGCATAGCGTTATCTGGGGATCTTGTAATGCATTCTGACTCAGAAGGTCTAAGGCAGGGCCTGAAATTCTGGATGTATGAAGCTCCCAGATGCTGCTGCTGCTACTGAACTGTGGACCACGCTTTGAGTAGCAAGATTATAGGTAATAGCTACTTTAAGCAGCTTGTTGTGTATCTGGACTTTAGTATTTATATTTAAACTATCTGGCCTTTTCCATGTATTTTGACTGTCAACCAAAGAGGTTAAAAGTTTACTAGTTAAAAAATACATTTATTGGACAGCTTAATCTGAACTGAGAAATGTTGGGGGATGCAAGATGAAAAGATATTCCCTGTTCTTAGGGAGTGACCTTTTACTGGGGAGCAGACATGTAAATAGGCCATTAAAGTATAAATCGACAGTTGCTGATGATGAAGATAAATGCAGGGAGTAGTGAGAACATGGAGACAGTTGTGCCTCACCTGCTTGGAAGAATCAGGAAATGCAACCGCACGCAGTGGGTAGAGATCCAAGTTATACCACTCAGTATGTTTAGCATCGACTTTCACCCCAGCTTGCCAGACAAACAAGAACATTCTTTTTTTCTGACTCATTTTTTCAGTCCAAATGTCCCTACCCACTCACAACTCACACGGTTTGAGTCTACAGGGATTTCTAGCTCCTCTCCTTCTCCAGAAAACAGGATTTTATAAGTCAGATTTCACCATCAAAATAACTCTCACTTATATTGGAATTGAATTTAAAAAGGAAATTGAACAGTACCAGTTTTATTATTTCAGTACATATTTCAGTTATTAGTCATGAGAAAACATGCAAAAAGCCTTGATACTATCTCACATTTGATCCATAAAATAAGAAAAGGAATATTGAGTCCCACAGATGCAGGAAGCACTGGCATACACTGAATTCACACTTCTCAGGCAGCATGTTCTTGACTTTTGTTGCTTTTTTACTTTGTGAAAGAATCTCATTCAGCAAATGAGAAAAAGGAAAGAGGAGAACTTCACTTGTGGGACAGCAACTCATTAATTGTCTAACTGTAAAATACTGTACCAATTTAAGAGAAAATTCTTGCTAGTTTTGAAATTTTCTTAATGGCTTCTCAGATTAAAAAAAACAACAATAAAATCAAAAATAAAAAATGAATAGAGAGCACCAAGATGGGAAACATACCCACCAGCTAACTAGTTGATTGCCTGATTATTAAAAATTATAGAATTCATTCAGCTTCATAAGCAAGATGTTATTCAAATACAGCCAGAGCGCTTATGACTGGTTTTTCCTCATTTGTGGTTAAATTCAATATTTCACTAAAAATCATTATGTGACTTCTATAACATTCATTTAACGGAGTCATTTAACTGTCAAGGGCTTCCGTCAAAGTAATTGTTCCAAAATGCTTCAAAATATGAAGAGCTTTTTGCTGTTCAGCTGAGTTTAACTTGAATTACTTTTTTTAATGAAAGGTAAAATAGCACAAAATTAGCAGCAAAAAGATGTTCATTTACAAGAAGCACAGTGGCCTGGTGTTCAGTTAAATTGAATTTTCAGCCATGTTTTCTACCCGAAAAGGCATCCTTCCCTGTCTTTTTAGCAATGAAAGGGTTTCCTCTCTTCCACCACTGCAGTCAGGAGCAGCAGAGCTAACATGGTTGTCTTACAGACATTTAATGTACTGTGGTCATAATTAAACTAAAGGATTCTTAGGGGAGAATTGGCCCTCAGTTGAATTTTCCTCTTCCCTAATGTGTGTGGAATGAACAAGATGATTGGGAAATAGCTATTTTCACACTTACTACGTTACAAGAAACTCTATTGCTGATCTCAGGAACAAGCTTCACTGCCCACCAGTCAATTTCACAGAATGTTCTTGCTAGGACAGGAGTACATCTTAGCTCCTCATAGCCTTAAAATCTCTTCTAACTTTTCCTAGAAAAAAGAAAGCTGACTGGGCATGGTGGCTCACACCTGTAATCCCAGCACTTTGGGAGGCCCAGGTGGGTAGATCACGAGGTCAAGAGTTCAAGAGCAGCCCAGCCAATCTGGTGAAACCCCATCTCTACTAAAAAAAAAAAAAAAAAAAAAATACAAAAATTAGCTGGGCACGGTGGCAGGAGCCTGTAATCCCAGCTACTTGGGAGGCTGAGGCAGGAGAATCGTTAGAACCAGGGTGGCAGAGGTTGCAGTGAGCGAGATTGAGCCACTGCACTTTAGCCTGGGCGACAGAGTGAGACTCCGTCTCAAAAATAAAAAATAAAATGGAAAGAAAAAAGGAAGCTAACATCCTGCTTTATGGTACTAGGAGTAGACTTAAGACTTAAGTATAGTGGAAACTGTGGAGTGCCAAAATTGAGATACAAACACAGATTTGGAGGAAGGGGAGAAAAGGATTTCATAACAAGCTATTCACCTCGTTACTTAGAGAGGACACAAGTCAGAGGATTCTTACCAACATTTGCCTTATCCTCAACCAGATTTCTTTCTTTCTTAATGTCTCTGAGTTTTATAAAATTAAGAAAATGTGGTAGTTGAAAATATCCTAAACGAAGCTTCCAATTTACTTTAAAAATAAAACATCCTTTGCAGTTCTAGTCCCTTTATTTTAACTCCCAAGAATAACTCTATGCTATATTCTCCTTTCCTTGGGAACAGATAGTATATTAAGTTGTTATAACTGCTGATTATTGCTAAGGTAGACTGGGGCCATCTCTGAATCTGATAAATACTGTTTTTAATCTACAGGAGTTATTTTGGTAAGAGATTGGCATACTAAAGTAATTACAGAAAGTTGGTGGTATTTATATCAATGATAGATTTGCAGAACTGCCAATTGATTAAGGCAATAGTTGTTTACATAGACTTCCTAAAGGAAACAGTAATTTTATAAAAATTCAAAAATTCACATTTTAGCTGGATATGGTAGCACATGCCTGTAGTCCCAGCTGTTTGGGAGGCTGAGGTAGGAGGATTGTTTGAGCCAAGAAATTGAGACCAGCCTGGGCAACATAGCAAAACCCTGTTTTTGTTTTTTGTTTTTTTTTAAATACTCCTTTTAGAAACTTAAAAAATGCTCACTTTAGAAATGATACTCTTAAATATTAACCTAATGAGAACATGTTTGAGAGAAGTTTTGCTGTTATTTTTACATCAGAATGGGAAAAGGGAAATCCTTGAAATAAGTTATTTTTGTAATTCCGTAAAACACTGATTCGAATATATGCTTTTATAAAGTAAAGAAAACTGAGTCCCAGGTCCTTTTCTTGACCTAACTAGCTGTATGATCTTGAGCAAATCATTTCATCTCTCTGGAGTTTGAACTCTCCATCTATAAAATAATATAATTATAATCGACTTCAGAAATTCTTGGAGCTTTAATATCCTAATTTTATTACATTTTATCTGAGGGTCTGCAGCATTAGGGTAAAAGATAATGTCTGTACAGTGGTCCAGGTCAATACCTTGCTTAGTAGGTGTTCAGTAAATCAGAGTTAAAGGTACATTTTTAGGGAAAATGCAGAGTAGAGAGGCGTATTAGGGTTATTGAACTAGTTCTCTCCCAGCTGCTCTGTCCAAGACACCATTGTCTGTGGTCTCTACCAGTGTAGCAGGCTCCTGTTTTCCCGACTCATGGCATTGCTCAGTCAGAGCTCTCCAGTGACTTCCTGTCTCACCCAGACCAAAGTCCACAGTCTCTAACCTGGCCAGCAAGGTCCTCCATGGCTGAACTTTCCCTGATTCCCTCGGCCTCTGACTTCCTCTGCTACCACCCTCTGCCTGATTCTGTCTGCTCAGCCGCCCGTGCTCCTCCCTCTCCTATCCAGTACACCTCTACATCAGGGCCTGGGAACTTCATTGTCCCACTACCTCGGCTTCCCATTGTCCCAGGCATTCACGTTCCTTGCTTTCACTTTCTTTAGGTCTGTGTTCAAAAAATGTCTTTATCCAAGAGGCTACTCTGACCTCGCTATATAAAAATAACACCTTGTTCTCTGCATTCACTATACTTTTACTCTTCTTTATTTTTCCTCAGGTACTTATCACCCCTGACATTATATATTTATGGTAGGTTGTTCATAGCTGTTCCTGCTTTCTGCCCTGTATTATATTGCTTGGCACATGCAGATGTTTAATAAGTAAGGATAACTAGAATTTATATAGCGTGTATTCTGTTTCAGGCACCATCTCAAAACAACACTATGAAGAACTGTTCTTTTTCCTTATTTACAGGTGAAGAAACTGAGGCACAGAAAAGTTAGGTA